AGTGAGCCGAGATCGCACCACTGCACTCCAGCTTGGTGACAGAGCGAGACTCCGTCTCAAAAAAAAAAAAAAAAAAAAAATCCAAGGGGGCTTGCTCCTGGTTTCTTCCTGTCTTTAGAAGCCAATTGTTTTCAGAAGACTGTACCAGTAGACGAATGGCAAGCCAGTCTTTTTAGATTGTTGTCAGCTGAAGAATGACACAGTCATAAATTTGGAAAGGAGAACTTTACATCTCATAAAGGGTTATAGCCTGCAAGGTGGCCACTCTGATAGCTGCCAGCCAGAAGCTCAAAACAGACACTTCTAGGGAATGGCAAAGGGAACAATAATTTGTGTTAAGCAGGGTGGCCAAATATACATATTTAATAAGTTATATGAGGAGTCATGAATATTTATAAACAGAAAAGTATGCATGTTCGATCGAGCTTTATGCCCCTCTTATATGTCCCATGTACCAAAAATGGTGGCATTAGCATGATCCAAGTGTGAGTTTTCAGTGCTCTAATGTCAAAAGGTGAAAGGTCACAGAAACCCTGACTGTACATCCTCCATGGACTGTCCAGAACAACTCCATGATCAGTGGTTTCCTATTAGGACGAAATGCTGGTTGGTTATTTTGTTGCAAACATAAAAGGGAGAGGTAGGATCAGGCTGTAACCACCCAAGGGGTTCTTCCTGCCTGCTGCACAAAGGCCAGGGTATTACAGTAAAGAAAGAGTTTAATAGACATGAGGCCAACCATGCCACATGGAAGATGGAGTTAGTACTCAAATCAGTCTCATGTAAAGCTCCTAGGTAGGGATTTTTCAAAGGCAGTTTGGGGGAAGGGGTGGGGCTGCCAGGTAATGGGTGCTTGATTGGCTGGGGCAGAAATGAAATCACAGGTGGTCAAAGCTGAACTCCTGTGGGCTGAGTTCTTCAGTGTGGGGCCACAGGAACTGGGTTGGCAGGTCCAGGTAGAGCCCTGGGTGTTACCCATGCAAAAAACCTGAAAGGACATCTCAAAAGGCCAATCAACGATAGTGGTGTTGCCTGCAGGAGTTGCTAGGAGTCATTTATGTCTACACCTTAGCAGAATTCAGATCCCTCTCCTCTCCCAGCCTGATGGCCTTTCAGTAGCTTTACAAAGGCATTTGAGTTTGCAGAAAGGCCTGTTATCATTTAAACTATACACTAAATATATCTTGAAGTTAGTTCAGCCCCCAAACCCAGGAATAATTAAGGAAAGAGCAAGATGAGTGTGGGTTAGAGCAGATCTCTTTTACTGCAATAATTTTCTTACTGTTGTAATTTTTGCAAAGGCAGTTTCAAGACAATTGGTTGATGAGGTATGGAGTGCATTTTTCCAAAGGTCTGGTTTCTGTATAACCCTCAAGGAAGAAAGCCTAAATGCCAAGAACTCAGTTTTCAGGGTTTCTCTGTGGTCCCTATGGCCAAGAGGGGGTCCATTTGGTCAGCTGCAGGGCTTAGAACTTTTTTTTTTTTTCAGTTCTAAATTAATAATTAAAATTAGAATTTAGAATTGTTTTTGTGCATTTATATGTGTGCATCAGGAAAAGAAAACTTACTAAGACCTAGTCATTTAAAGTTATTCTTAAAATGTCATTTTTTAAGGTCCAAAAGACTATACATAATCCACAAACATATAATTATATAACTATATAATAACATACATAGAACTTGATATAATTCGCATTCTGTAATAATTAATATGACCACCATATGTGTGTATTTGTACAGATGTGAGGTGATGTGTGTATTAGCATTTGATACATGGCATCTTAGAGCTAGATGGTACATCAAAATCTCATTCAACAATTCATTTTATACAGTGAACAACTGAGGCATAATGAGGTTGACCGACTTGTCTTGAGTTAGCCAGTGGCCTGAATGTTCTAACTCCTGCTCCAGTGCTGTCTCTAATATAATAGTTGTTTAGCTGAGTATTCACCTTTCTGAGAATTTGTAATGTTCTTTTTAAGCCTTGCAATCAAAGCAGTTTCCGGCAAAGGTCAGCTGATCCCATCAGACAGCCAGCTGATGAAGGAAGATCCTGCCCTGATGCTGTTGAGCAGGAACCCTGTAACCTGAACAAAAACTGCTACCACTATGATTATAATGTAACAGGTACATGGATCGTCATCTGATCACAGAGTTAAGTCCAAATGCCGTGCCTGTTAGCTCTGAAGCATTCCCGTCAGCGTAGTTCATCTCCATCTGTGTGCCTTTTGGACATGCTACTTATTGTCCCAGAAAGAATTACTTATTAAATGACAAACATTTATCTGTTTTTTTAGTAAACACTAAGATAGAGGAAATAAAAATGTCTCACAGACATTAGCCCTTAAAGTAGGTTGTGAATATGCTAAGTGTTCCTATGTAAGACAGCCTCTCACTATGGGGAGGTGAATCTAAAAGAAATATTTTTGGCACAGGTATCAGATTTACTCAAAAATGTCTTTTTCAGAAGATGCTTAATTGTTTAAAACATACTAGGGCAACAATTCTTGAGGTGTGGGCAGTTTATAAACATGATTAGTTTGATACAAAAATGTCAGCAATCTTAAACTTACCAAAGATTATAAATCAATGCTATAAAAGGTACAGATAAAGAAAAGTAGATGAGTATTTTCAGAAAAACAAGTTTATTAGTATTTGCATTTTTCCCCTAAATCTCACTTAATACCATCAAGATGCATACTCTAGGAAAGAGTTCATATGATTTGAGACAACACCAAAGCTTACTTTGGAATTTTTCCCAAGTAATTTTCACTCTGAAACAAACTCAAGAGACTGTACAATGACACATTAAAGGTCACACTGGCCTTTTGTTTCTTTTGGTTTTTCTCTTCAATTTCCTTTGATGATACAAAACAAATCAAAGTTATCAGGGATGTACTATGTTACCCAGTGAAAAGAGATGAACGAGTTATTTTGCAAAAGATGTAAGAGAAATAAGTATGGCCAAAGTGATTTTTATCACTCTAATAAATGTATGCATTTTTATGCATTATAAATATAGACAAGAAGTAAAATATATAATGTTTTATTTGAATATAGTTACATAAAGTACCATCTGTCACAATTATGATTATTTTGCTAAAATAGAAGTAATGCAAAGATTTTAAATATTTTTATTGGGAAAAAAAGTTTTTAAGTGACATTGATCTGCAGGTCAAAGCCATTTTTACAATGTCACTAAACGGCTATCAAGATTTTCAAGTAGGCATCTGCCTTTAAGAATAAACCCTGTAGCCATGTGCAACCCCAGCAATTCCATTTGACTCCTGATATGTTCAAAGCTGAGACCCATATGCTCTGAATGGGGGATGATTGATTATGGGGCTTAGGAAGCAGTTGTGAATTAAATATGGGATTCGGGTCATCAGAGTTTCATTTGAAATCTGTTTCATACTGAGCCTTCTGTTCTGATGGGCTTCCTTTTTTCAGACTGGAGTACATGTCAGCTGAGTGAGAAGGCAGTTTGTGGAAATGGAATTAAAACAAGGATGTTGGATTGTGTTCGAAGTGATGGCAAGTCAGTTGACCTGAAATATTGTGAAGAGGTGGGTGGATTTAGTGTTATATCTTTGTGAGTAAATTCTTCCCTAATAACTTCAGTGCATGCTGAGCCAAGTGACCCGTGCTGCATGCAGCTCATTGCCAGCAGATGTTTTCTGCGCTATTCGCAGGCTGCTAAGTATGTTCTTGAAAAGATGCAATGCCTAACACCACTGATCCCTACACGTAATTTTCTGTATTTTCTTCTGCTTGGCGCCCAAAGGTAGCATAGTAATTAGCCTATTCTGAAAGAAATGCTTAGGGAACAATAAGTAGTCAAGGTGAATAAAAGCAATAAATCTTAATCAGACTACGTATCATCTTTTGTAATTTGATGTGAATTTTGTGTAGTGCCTAGGACACCTGCCAAGGTCCATCATTTATTCTGTTTGTTGCTAAACATTGCTCACATGTGGTTTCCTAGCAGATTTTGATATTAGGATCTAATACCCAGCTGTGGGCATCTAAGCAGTCCGGTCTGATTGAGAGCCTCAAATTCAAACAAAGGAATGAAGTCTGTCATTACTATCTTCTAGGTACAGAGAATTGTAACTGGTAATTATCTGATTGATCAAAGCAATGTCATCATATCTAGATGTGAGCTTCTGAAATGTGAGAACACATATTGGCCTTTCTTAGTTTTTATGAAACACTTCATGTTTTAATAATTTTGTCTGATTTCTATATCAAAAACATGACAAATATTGACTCTCCATGCATTTGAGGTCCCTGGGTCATATACCAATCAAGATAAGCAGGAGCCTTAATAGATCTGGAGTAAACGAGAAGGAGTTTGTAACCTCATTAGAGTTTAATATACATGGTCACCATGTCTTCTGTCTACACATCCTGGGGTTATTATAAGCCCACAGTGAATTGTTCCAACACCTAGGGGAAAATTCTAAACAGAAATATTTTAATTCATTTGATATACTTATCATGCAGACCTAACTTAACTTTCTTAAATCCCAGCAGAGTGCTCACATGTGTTGAAAACAAATTTGTTTAGTTAATAAATGCCTCCTGCTATAACCTTAAAACTTAATCTATTCATTATTTACATTTGAATAATTGGAAATTTCACACTTGAATCATTTTGGTTTTGTAACCAATAACATTGAAGCAATATAACCATTATAAGAATAGCAGCAGTATTAATGAAGATAATAGCCATATAGTGGCTGGAGAGCTTTACTTCTAGTTGATTAGTACATCCTTTTTTTGCAAACATAAATGCCCTCCTTGGTAGGGTGAAATATAAAATAACTAACTCAGAGCTTTGTGAACACTGAAACCAAAGCATACATGACCAATTTTAAACTCTTTCATATGACTAAAGGACAAAGCTGTAAACAGGATTCTTGATTTCTTAAATATGAGTAAACAGCCAGGAAATAACTAATTTTAATTATATGGGAGTCTGCATATTAAGCTCACATGCAAATATTATAATATTTGAATGCTTCAGGACGATTAGGGACTCCAGTTTTAACGTCCGAGCAAACACTGTCTTCAAGACTTAAAATTTGACTGCGCGAACCCTGCATTCAGTGCCACAGCAGTAGGTAACACTTGCTGCTTCCCTGACAGCCGCAAAGAAAGATGGCATTATTATCCAACAAAGAGGAAAATTAGAGTTAAACCCAACTAGCAATCATGTAGTATTTTTATCTTTAGTGTTTTTCAGACATTTACACATCGGATACCCAGAAATTGGTTTCTTCTTTCCTATTTCATAGATTTTTGAATAGATTTCTTCTTTAATTTATTTAGACACGTATGTTTAGGTAAATGAGAGAGAGAATTAAAAGAGAGCTAATCAATGTAAGGAAAACAGTAGTACAGGGCTAAAATGTCTAAGTAGTAGATACGTAAGTCAGTAATAATTGAATTGTGTGATTCAAACTCTCCCCATGAAACTATTATTTACCTTAAATGTAACATATTATTTTTATCATATCACTTCAAGATTCCTATCTCCTACCTCCCATGACTTTTAAGAGGCTTTATGAGGCTTCAGTTGAGTGATATGTTAGTTTTCATACCAAATACTCAGCTTTGTCAAGTATTACTCGTATAGAATATAATGGGAGTGCCTGCAGAGAGATGTTTACACAAAGCTTTGATCTGATCTCTCTATGAGTAACATAGAGCTAAAAGCTATATTTGAAACAACATGTTTCAAAAAATTTCTCGTTTGCCATTATCTGCTGTATAAATTAGAAAACGTAAACTTCTCTTTCATGCGGAAATAAAAAAGGTCTTGGAAATTCCAAGAATTACTAGTTTTAAAAATTCATATTCTCCTAATAAGCTCTTCTATTTCTTTTTCTTTTTTTTTTCATTTGGAGACAGAGTCTCACTCTGTTGCCCAGACTGGAGTGCAGTGGCGCTATCTCAGCTCACTGCAACCTCTACCTCCTGGGTTCAGGCAATTCTCCTGCCTCAGCCTCCCGAGTAGCTGAGACTATGGTCATGTACCACCACTCCAAGCTAATTTTTTATTTTTAGCTTTTTTCAGTAGAGGTTACACTTCACCATGCTGGCCAGGCTGCTCTCAGGTGATCTGCCCACCTATGCCTCCCAAAGTGCTGGGATTATAGGCATGAGCCACCGCACCCAGCTGACATTTTCCTATTTCAGTGATATTTTATACCTTAGACATTTTAAACGTTGGAAAGTACAGCAGAAGAATTTGAAACATCATCTTATAGTTTTAAAGCAGAATATTTAAATGATCGGTAATGGAACCCAAATGCCAACAAAATGGCACATTTTTATCTGATGAGAGGGTCTGACACCAGAGTAACTGAATTATACCACAGTTAGTTGTTAAGTTTTAGAAGTGAAAATCTTTGTTTTAAAAAAATTCACGTAAGATATTCATAATCAAAACTTTGGTGACCCATATTTCTTTATTAAAAATATAGCTGATAGTTTATATTATTTTAATTCATGAATATCGTTAGTTTTGAGTAGCATTTTGTGTTTAGAACCTTTTCCTTTTGCTTTTCAATTTACCATACATAAAAATAAGTACAATTTTAAGATACAATTGTAGATCAAAATACTGATATTATTGGTGTTTAGCTAATGCAAAGTATTTATGCTTATATTTATTTGTTCCCCATTTAGGGAAATTCAACCAAATTGGAGACTAAATCTACTTTTTTCATTGTTTATTGGAAATACTCAAACAATACATAAGGATAGAGTCAGTGGGCCCCTTCTTTCATCCTGTGCCCCTAACTTCCACTCTCCTGGGTCCAACCACTTTATACTTTTAATAATTTGGATGTTTGTCCCCCAGGTACCATTTTATTCTGTTATGTGGCTTGCTTTTTCTCCGTTTCTCTTCTCTCTTGTCTCCTCGTTCTCTGACTCCCTCCCCAGATTTACAATATACATACTGATCTAGTTCTGTTCTTCCAGCTGGGCCTGGAGAAGAACTGGCAGATGAACACGTCCTGCGTGGTGGAATGCCCTGTGAACTGTCAGCTTTCTGATTGGTCTCCTTGGTCAGAATGTTCTCAAACATGTGGCCTCACAGGTTTGTTTGTACCATGCATAACTCACATTAGGCTAATGGTCAAGGAATATGAAATACAATATCCATCTTGCTTTAAGCCATGTCAGATAATCTTCAGAAAGGTTGAATAGGTTTTCTTTCCAAAAGATGTAAGCCTTACTTGTTCCTGGATCTCCTCAGGAGATATCACTGTGATGCCTTCTCCCAATGAGATATCTGCTTGCAAAACCATAACATATCATTAAAGTTGCATCACTTTGTTTGTCTTAAAGGAAAAATGATCCGAAGACGAACAGTGACCCAGCCCTTTCAGGGTGATGGAAGACCTTGCCCTTCCCTGATGGACCAGTCCAAACCCTGCCCAGTGAAGCCTTGTTATCGGTGGCAATATGGCCAGTGGTCTCCATGCCAAGTGCAGGTATAAATTCTCAAGAAGTTGTAAGGAAGTGTGTACTCTTTATCTGCAGAGACTTGGTTTCAGAGCTTACAGATGACAAGCTTCTTAAAATTTTATGTGCCTTGCCATTTTATAACCAATTAATTAGTTTGATAACAAACATTCCCTGCCCTGTACTTTTAAAATCCTTTGGAGACTGTTTCATTTTAATAAAGATTTATTTTCCTGCCTTTAGCTAGAAAAGAAACAAATTGTTCAAAGTATGCTTTACTGCTAGTGCCCTATAGGGCTTCTTCCCTAGGGTTTCAAGTGCTTCTCTAAATCTTCATAAATCAAAGTCAGTGGTGCAGAGATGACTAAGTGATGAGCTTTCTAATGAAGTATTATTTCTCTTTTTCTAATTAGTTATTTCTTCCTCCATTCCAGGAGGCCCAGTGTGGAGAAGGGACCAGAACAAGGAACATTTCTTGTGTAGTAAGTGATGGGTCAGCGGATGATTTCAGCAAAGTGGTGGATGAGGAATTCTGTGCTGACATTGAACTCATTATAGATGGTAATAAAAACATGGTTCTGGAGGAAACCTGCACCCAGCCTTGCCCAGGTAACAACAGCAAAAGAGAATTCATATTCTGATTATTTTTCCCTAGGACAAGAGCCATGACAGGTTGCATATAAAGTATAAGTTACAGGAGGTCAAGAGTCTTATTATTTGGTAGTATCTATGCCAACAGTTGAACACTATGCCCATGGGGAAAGGGGTACTGCCTTATTACTGTCAGGTAGGGATGAAGTCCACGCCTCCCATGTGGCCCCTCTCAACACCCTCTGGAGTGTTAATATATGCAGGAGACGGAGATTAAGGCCTTAAGCCCAAGCTCCACAGGAAAGGTATGAAATAAAAGTTGAGAAAATAAGGATAAAACATAACTTATTTGGGATTTCCAGAAGAGAATAAAGAGAGACCAGTGTTTAAACACTTAATGGCCAAAAACAGATTAAGTCCTCACAATAAGAGCTTAAACTAGGTTCAGGTTAGAATCAACAACAAACTCACGCCTAGATAAATGTAGTTAAAACGTAAAATATAGAACAATAATTAGTAAAGTCTTCAGTGAGAAAGAGATTATCTGCAACTAGAAGACAAAATAACAGTATGGAGGAAACTTCTGAAAGATGCTGTTCTGATTCAGTGTTAGACACAATGGGTGCATGCAGAAATGTTGTGTATCAAACAGTATAGGAAAAATGGCAGACAGTGATAAGCTAATAGTTATGACTTTGGGCTTGATGCAGAGAATTGTAGGGGAAATTGAATGTCCAAATATGCCACCCATCCTTGAAAAATATATAGGAGCAATAATTTGTTAGTGGACTGGAAATGAGCAGATTGAAAATGAATTACCTGTATTTTATCCCCAAATAGAAAATTTATATTCTCCCAATTTGCTTATAATTATGATGTAAAAATTGTATCTCTTGTAAACTATTTTTTGTGAATAAGACTTCAAAAATTAAGGATTTGGCAGAAAGATAATGGAGCATAAAACATATTTTCTAGATAAAAGGATGTGATTTAAGAAAATTTTTAAAGTGAATAACATATATTAACAAAAATTTATAAATGGGATTGAGTCCCTGCAAAGCAGCTTCTTCTCAATGAGTGTAAAGTTTCAGCTATGCAAGGTGAGTAAGTTCTAGAGATCAGTTGTAAGACATAGAGCCTGTAGTTAACAATACTGTATAGTAAACTTAAAAATGTGTTAACTGGGTAGATCTCATATTAAATGGTCTTATCACAATAAAAAATAAAATGTAAAAAAAAATAAAAGAAAATTTGACTCTCGGCCAGGCGCAGTGGCTCACACCTGTAATCCCAGGACTTTGGGAGGCCGAGGCAAGTGAATCACAAGGTTGGGAGTTCAAGACCAGCTTGGCCACCATAGTGAAACACCATCTCTACTAAAAATTAGCTAGGCATAGTGGCAGATGCCTGTAATCCCAGCTACTTGGGAGGCTGAGGTAGGAGCATCACTTGAACCTGGGAAGCAGAGTTTGCAGTGAGCCGAAATCGTGCCATTGCACTCTAGCCCGAGTGACAAGAGTGAGACTTCCTCTCAAAAAAAAAAAAAAAAAAGGAAAAAGAAATCCTGACTTCCTAAAGCCAGGCAAAGTATTGCTGTTCAGACATTCCCACACTTGCCAATAATATCCTTTTGCCGATCCAGCAATTCCCTTCTTTCATTTCCTGCTGCTGAAACTGGTCTGCTATCATTTAAGATCTCACACACAATTCAATTTAATAAAATCATTTTGCTTCACTGCAGACCCAGCCTGAGGCTGTGGCAGCAGGTGACACCTCCAGGCAGGGTCAAAGACTAAACCTTTGGACCTCAATGTACTGAACGGCCACAGAGGCAACAAAAAGTGACCAACGCTAAAAGTTGTAAGGCCTACCTGTTCCAAAACCAAATCTCCAGCACCAATAATAGGATTGTGATGACATCCACACCATTGAGCAGAACTGGCATCCTTGTCAGACAGTGGTGTATGCCTTACTATGGACACTCCCCACATGGTTTCATTATACTTCCTGCAGGAAAATTACCCACTCATTCGATTGTTATTTACCAAATGTAATTACAGGTCAGTCCTTGGACTTGAGGCCAGAGATACAGTGAAGACCAACAGACCCTGTCCTTGTACGGCTTACTTTCTAGTGGAAGAAACAATTGCTAATCTAATAGTGACATAAACATAAGATTATAATCTGTGGAAAATGATGTGAAGGAAAATTACAGGATCCCATTATAATACAGAACAGGACAAACACACTGTTTTAATTAAAGTAATTGCAAATCTAGGAGGAGGCTGCTCTTCTCTTGTAAATTACAATATATTCGTTTCAGTTGCTCTCTTGCTAGTTTTCTCTAATGATGGGTTTCGAAAGCTAGCAATATGTGTACTAATAAGCCTTAAAGACTCGAATACTGAATTAGGAAATACATTTCATGTGTTTAATTATCATATCTTTGGCAGGCATAGGGCAATTTTATTGTTATTACAATGGTTTACATGGTCAAAATAGAAAAGTGTGTTTAGAACAAGAAAGTATCTCACTCTCATTTGCTGTTATTAAATCTTTGAAGCCCGACATGTATTACTTTGGGGAGATAATTACATAAGTCACAGAATATCATTAAAAGATTTATTAAGTTTTGTTGCAAAATAAATGATGCTAAATGTGGACTGCCGCAGAGATAAAGCCTGTTGGTAAAAAGATATGTTTTCTTTCCATGTAGTTTTCAATCACTGAGGTAAAATTATATTACTTTCATATTGATATGAATTTTTTAAACTTTAGCTGTTTTCCTGTATCATTAAAAACTGCGTAACCCCAAAGTGACACTTCCTAGGAAATAAAAGGATTACTAAAACTTTCTCAGACTAATTAGAAATTCTTTCTAGTTGCTTTTTCCTTTGCATTTCTAAAATTTAGTAGAACCATTTGTACTTCAGGAGTATCAATTACATTCTTTTTAATAAGTCTACAAAAATCACTCCATTTTACTATTATGTATATATCTTTTAGTCAATAATTCATATCTTCCCTGGACTTCTTAGGCATGACACAAGAAGTTTTTCCATTAATCACATCTCCAAGCAACTTTGTGCTAATACCAGTCACCTTCAGCATAATATAAGGCAGTATGAATTATTCATATGACAAGGCTAGAATAAATAAGTGATAAGAAACCCTTGTGAATTTGGGTCTATCATAATTAACTGTGTACTCTGAAGAGTATTACTAAGCAGTCATTCTGAAAAATGAATGGGTTAATGGAAAGGTCATATTTCATAAAATCTTTTCTGTTCTTAAGATGCTAGAAGCATGGATAAACAATGCACTCCTAGTTACAAACCCAACAGAAATGCATATATAATCTCATCCAAAGACTTGTACTAAAATGTTCACAGCAATAATGATAGGAAAAATGTACAACTCCCCACATGCCCATCAGTAGTAGAATGGGTATCTAAGCTCTGATATATTCACACAATGGAACAAAGTACAGTAGTAAGAAGGAACAAACTAGAACTTCATAAATGTATGCTGGATCTCACAAACATAAATGAGAGAAGGCAGACACAAAAAAAGTACATATGGTATGATTTCATATATCACACGAGGGAGGGTTCTGAGATCTGGGAATGTTTTGTTCCTTGATTTGGGTGTTGATCACATGTTACAATCAGATTGTCGAAATTCAGCTATCTGTGCATTTATGATATGTGATCATTTTACATGTTTATTAAACTTAATAAATATTTTAAAGAGAAGTGATTTCAAGATGTAGATCAAAGGAAATCGCATTATTTCCAGTACTGCAACTGCTTGATTGCCTCTCTCACCGCCACTCCTCTGGGAAGAAACAGAAATGAAACATAAAGCCAGCTTAGTCAGTCTTGAACTTCAAACTTTTTGAAAATTGTGAATACCTAGAAGACAAATTCTGTTTATATTTAGGCTTTGTGTGTACCTCACGTGTAATAAACCACTTTGCTATGATCATGACAAGAGTGGCAGTAGGTTTGGATCAAATGTTTGTTGTATCCTAAGGAGGGCTGAATTATAGTGAATGAGTTTCTGTCTGCCACAGTTTACCATTGATATCATTAAGCAACATATAGACCAGTAATAGCTATGCAGAAAATAACAATATCTATAGACAGTTATACAAATACATATAAATTTGCAAGCATTAAATGCTTAAATCTTATAAACATTATGTATGACTGGCATAGCTAAAAACACTGCCCAGTGGGGTTGGAATTAAAATGAATATCTGCCTGGATTTCTCTGTGGATATGAGTGTAAATTACAAACCTGTGTTTTCCAGGTGACTGTTATTTGAAGGACTGGTCTTCCTGGAGCCTGTGTCAGCTGACTTGTGTGAATGGTGAGGATCTAGGCTTTGGTGGAATACAGGTCCGATCCAGAGCGGTGATTATACAAGAACTAGAGAATCAGCATCTGTGCCCAGAGCAGATGTTAGAAACAAGATCATGTGATGGTGAGTGCTACCGTTCATATACTCTATCTTAAGCAAAAGCATAAGATTAAAAAAAAAAATGTTAAAAATAAATTTAGCCAGGTGTGGTAGCTCACGCCTATAATTCCAGCACTTTGGGAGGCAAAGGCAGGTGGATCACCTGAGACCAGGACTTCGAGACCAGCCTGGACAACACGGTGAAGCCCTGACTCTACTAAAAAGGCATGGTGTCAGGTTTCTCTAATCCTAGCTACTTGGGAGGCTGAGACAGGAGAATCACTTGAACCCAGGAAGTGAAGGCTGCAGTGAGATGAGATTGAGCCATAGCACTCCAGCCCGAGCAACAAGAGTGAAATTCCATCTCAAAAATAAACAAACAAATAAATAAGTAAATTTAAAATTTACTAGAATGTCACTTAAGGCTGAGGACTAAAGTAAGGGGAAAATTCTGAAATCTGAAAAGAATATTTGCAATTAAAAAGGAAAAAAAGAAATAGAATGCAACCAACATAGATAAGTATAAATTCAATGAGATAGAAAATAAATAATCAACAAAACCAATAGATTGTTTTTGAGCAAACTGACAAAATAGATCAGCTCATGTTAACATCAATGAAGAAAAAAAAAAGTGAAGTCATTATAATAAAGTGTAGAAAAATAGAATAAAACTAGTGTTTTCTAACAAATGTAAAAATGTCAATGAAGATAATTTAGAATGTTATATTTTATCAAGAGTAATGAAAAAACTACATCACTGATTATATAACTATTTTTAAGCCCATCAAATACATATTCACACATGCACACAAAGTAAAACTTAAATGGCTTTAATTATGAGTTATACCAAAACATAAAGAAAAGGACAACTCGTATTTATTTGAAATCTTTTATAAGAACGTTTTCTTTTTCTGAATTACATTTATTGTATTTTATTCATTTATTTTTTATTATACATTAAGTTCTGGGATACATGTGCAGAATGTGCAGGTTTGTTAAAGAGGTATACACATGCTATGGTGGTTTGCTGCACCCATCAACCTGTCATCTACATTAGGTATTTCTCCTAATGTTATCCCTCCCCTATCCCTTCACCCCCTGACACGCCTCAGTGTGTGATGTTCCCCTCCCTGTGTCCATGTGTTCTCATTATTCAACTCCCACTTATGAGTGAGAACATGTGGTGTTTGGTTTTCTCTTTCTGTGTAAGTTTGCTGTAAATGATGGTTTCCAGCTTAATCCATGTCCTTGCAAAGGACATGAACTCATCCTTTTTTATGGCTACATAGTATTCCATGGTATTTGTGTGCCACATTTTCTTGATCCAGTGTATCATTGATGGGCATTTGGGCTGGTTCCAAATCTTTGCTATTGTGAACAGTGCTGCAAGAAACATACGTGTGTATATGTCGTTATAACAGAATGATTAGTAATCCATTGAGTATATACCAGTAATGAAAATACTGAGTCAAATGGTATTTCTGGTTCTGGATCCTTGAGGAATTGCCACACTGCCTTATACATGGTTGAACTAATTTTACACTCCCACCAACAGTGTGAAAGCATTCCTATTTCTCCACATTCTCTCCAGCATCTGTTGTTTCCTGACTTTTTAATGATCACCATTTTAACTGGCATGAGATGGTATCTCATTGTGGTTTTGATTTGCATTTCTCTAATGACCAGTGATGAGATGAGATTTTTTTTCATATGTTTATTGGCTGAATAAATGTCTTCTTTTGAAAAATATCTGTTCATATCTTTCACCCACTTTTCGATGAGGTTGTTTTTTTCTTGTAAATTTGTATGAGTTCTTTGTAGATTCTGGATATTAGCCCTTTGTCAGATGGATAGATTGCAAAGATTTTCTCTCATTCTTTAGGCTACCTGTTCACTCTGATGATAGTTTATTTTGCTGTGCAGAAGCTCTTAAGTTTAATTAGATCCCATTTGTCTATTTTGGCATCTCTTGCCATTGCTTTTGGTGTTTTCCTCATGAAGTCTTTGCCCATGCCTATGTCCTGAATGGTATTGCCTAGGTTTTCTTCTAGGGGTTTTATGGTTTTAGGTCTTATGTTTAAGTCTTTAATCCACGTTGAGTTAGTTTTTGTATAAGGTGTAAGGAAGGTTTTAGTTTTCTGCATATGACTAGCCAGTTTTCCCAAAACCATTTATAAAATAGGGAATCCTTTCCCCATTGCTTGTTTTTGTCTGATTTGTCAAAGATCAGATAGTTGTAGATGTGTAGCATTATTTCTGAGGCCTCTTTTCTGTTCCATTAGTCTGTACATCTGTTTCGGTACCTGTTGTTTTGGTTACTGTAACCTTATAGCATAGTTTGAAGTCAGGTAGCATGATCCTCCCACTTTGTTCTTTTTGCTTAGGATTGTCTTGGCTATACAGGCTCTTTTTTTGGTTTTATATGAAATTTAAAGTAGTTTTTCCTAATTCTGTAAAGAAGTCAATGATAGCTTGATGGGAATAGCATTAAGTCTATAAATTACTTTGGGCGGTATGGCCATTTTCATGATACTGATTTTTCCTATTCATGAGCATGGAATGTTTTTCATTTGTTTGTGTCCTCTCTTATTTCCATGAGCAGTGGTTTGTAGTTCTTCTTGAAGAGGTCCTTCACATCTTGTTACTTGTATTCCTAGGTATTCTATTCTCTTTGTGGCAATTGTGAATGGGAGATCACTCATGGTTTGGCTGTCTATTATGTCAGGTCTGTCTTGCAGACCCTGGCTGAGTGACGATGCATGATAGGAGTACACAGACACAGGTATGCAGTGTAAGAGCCACTAGGGGACTGCAGGCAGAGTGAGCAGTTTTGATAAGCTGCAGCTGCTAGCTTTTGTTTAGCACAGACATACTACCAAAAGGCTGGAGCCAACACAATCTGTAGGTAATTAACATTGTCGTTCCCCCTTCCAGGGAGCAGTCTCGTGTGCGGATGATCAAAAGTCAGTTTCCTGACAACAGAAGTAAACAAGCATATTTAGATAAATGCCCCTACATTCCGTTGTACCTACTCCTTGCCCTTTGCCTCAGGGTAAGAGAACAGCTGCCTTCAGTTTATTCTCCCCTGAAGCTTTGCAAAACCTTTCCAGGTTTGCATCTTTCCCTATCGCTTCTCCCACCACCCTAACCAATCTCCTACATCTCCCCTTTTTCTATTTTTTGCATCAGGTTTTGTTGATTGAAGAGTATAGATGTGTGCAGCAACAAGTTTGTCAGGCGTAATGGTTACAGCTCGTTTTTGGCTTTGCATCCCAGAATTAGTAACTAACATGAGACAAACATGAGTATAATCAGTAATATTCTTTTCCAGTTGAGGAGTGCCTCACAGGAGTGAGGGTCTATCCAGGAGAGATGTTCTTGCCCATCCTTCCATATGGCTGTTTGTTGGATGTGAAGATTTATGGTGTTTAGGGATTCTTGAATTTTAGTTTTAAGTGGCTTTATGTCTGCTGTTTACTTATCACATAAAGTTCCCCAGAGGCGTTGTTTCACCTCATCCCAATGATGCATTGATTGATTCCATGGTAGAGAGGTGACACAAATATGCTTATGCTCCCAGTTGCAGTTTAATTGTTGCTGGAATGCCAGTGCCTCTTGTCATTCTCCTACATACTCCATGGCAGCCTTGAGGGCTTGCAGGCATGTAAGAATTTTTTGGTCTATATCCTACTGTAGGAGAAGTTCATTAGACACATTTCTGGCCAACCTGTCCACAAAGGTAGCTGTTTATACTGCTTCAGTAACCGATGCAACAGCAACACTAGCAGTAGCTAGGATGACTATGGCAGAGACTACAAAGGCTATAAATGTACCTATGAATCTTTTGTGTCTGAGCTGGGACAGGGCACATTCTAAGGTGGCAGGAGCAGAGGAGCCTTGCCAGTCGTGTGTCAAATTGACTGGTAGGAATGCCTTAGACTGTTTCCTTAATACCTTGACACTAGTAATATTTAAATTAGATATATTGTAATTAGTCATACATGAGGTGAATCAAGCCTGTCCTTGCACTTGGGTCACAAACTTGGAGTTTCGGAGTGTTACGGAAATATTGGTTCCCTAAAGAAATCATATGGATAGGTAGTGTAAATAAGGCACTGATCTCTCTGATTATGAATAAAGGTCATAGTATAATTGTTACTGGAATTTTGATATTTCCCATGCCAGGTTTTAAGGGTGGTGCTAGAATATCCCAGGCATCATAAAGTGTCTTGGGGTGGCATGGACTCTAATTGGAGTCTGGGATATCCCATTCCCCCATCAGCCCAAATCATAGGGGAACAAGTTGTGCCTACAAAACTGATTGATGCTACAGTGGACACAGACATCAGTATGGTTAGCCTGCAAATGGCCGTGGGGGCTCCAGTCTATGATGTTATAATTTCCTCACTGGAAGCTATGGGCTTGTCCCCCAGGACAGTCCTCCTAGCCAAAGTGAAATCCATTACTTTCCAGGCTTGGTTCTTTGCACAGGGAGGAATGTCGGGGAAAGTGGCAGTGGTTGCGTTGCTCACTTTGAGGCTACCTGCAACCAAGAATGTGAAGGCATTTGATTGCCATGATGTAGCCATAATTGTGTTTAGGCAGGTACACAGTAAGGGTTAGAACTTTTATAACTTACACATAGTGGGAGGATAGTGGAGTGGTAAGTAGTATTACCTGGCACCTCAGTCCAATGTGTGCCATTAATGAGAGACCCTACAGGGAGTATGTCAATCCCTCTTAGCCAGGCATTGTTGGAGGCTGTGAAGAGGGTGCCAGCCCAAGTAACAGGGCTGAAAAAAGGCAGATCCAAAATATGGGCCCAATAGAGAGTAGCAGGTGCAGGTAGCAGGCAAAGTGAGAGAATGAAAAACAAATTATCTGGAGTTAATAGTGTCTATGTCCAGAGCAGAATTTGCTCAGCCTCCCAAGTTGTCTTCGTCAGTGTAATGTCTGGGGCCTGTGTTGTCTGAGGCAGCCACATCGTCCGGGGCTGCGGGTCCTGCAGGGTCATTTCATTCATT